TTCAGCAAACAAGGTTGTATCATCTGCATATCACAGATTGTTAATGAGTCTTCCTCCAATCCTGATGCCACGTTTTTCTTCATAGAACCCAGCTTCTCGAATTATTTGCTCAGCATACAGGTTGAATAAGTATGGTGAAAGAATACAACCTTGTCGCACACCTTTTAAAATTTTAAACCATTCAGTGCTCCTTTGTTCTGTTTGAACATTTGCTGCTTGTTCCAGGTACAGATTCCTCATGAGCACAAGTAAGTGTTCCAGAATACTTATACTTGGCAGTGTTGTCCATAGCTTGTCATGATCCACACAGTTGAAAGCCTTTGCACAGTCAATAAAGCACAGGTAAACATGTTCCTTTTATTCTCTGTTTTCAGCCAAGATCCATCAGATATTAGCAGAGATACCCCTCATTCCATATCCTCTTCTGAATCTGGCTTGAACCTCTGGAAGTTCTCTGTCAATGTATGCCTGTAGCCATTTCTGGATTACCTTTAGCAAAACTTTACTCAACATCAAAGAGATTGTCCAATGATTTCCACATTCTGTTGGGTCACCTCTCTTTGGAATGGTCACAAACATGGATCTTTTCCAATCAGTTGGCCAGATAGTTTTCTTCCAAATTTCTTGGCAGAGATGAGTGAGTGTCTTCTGTGCCACCTCACTTTCTTTCTTTCTTTTTTTTTTAAAAAGCTTTTATTGTGAATTGAATGATAATTTACATGGGAGAACATTGGTTTTGCACTCAGCCAGTCGTATTTTGTTTCATTGCAATGATTACAGTCCCCTCAATGCACCATCAGCTAACAGTATTTGCCTCCCCCCCCCTTTTATTTTTAATGTACACAAAAACACTCAGGAATATATAATCATTTAAACATCATTTAAACAACCAAAGAGCACCGCCAGCACATAGTTTCTTTCTGTAAGTCCTCAGCTGTTCTCGCTCTCCAAGTCTCTGCCTCCATTTCTGGTGTCGCTGCTTCTCTAGATAGATGGGTCTTCTGTTCCTGGACTATAAGATTAACTACTCCCCAATTTATGTTACAAAACTTCTGCCTTTACAGTTGTGACAATCACAATTAGTCATGATAGCAATTACTCAAAAAAATTATTTCAAAAGAATTCAAAACGATTATTTCAAAAGAATCCTATACCCATCTCCTTTCATCAGACCCATCTAACTGCCTCACTTTCTTGAAAGATTTCAATTTTTATTCCATCAATTCCTGGTGCCTTTTTCTTTGCCAGTTCCTTCAATGCACCTTGGACTTCTCCTTCAGTAGCATTGGCTCTTGATCATATGCTACCTCTTGAAACGGGTGAACATTAACCATTTCCTTTTGGTACAGTGACTGTGTATTCCTTCCACCTTCTCTTGATGCTTTCTGCATCATTCAATAATTTGCCCAGAGAATCTTTCAATAACGAAAGTCGAGGCTTGAATTTTTTCTTCAGTTCCCCCAGCT